CTACTGATTGCCCCCAAAAATGAACCCCGCTTTCGACAAATGATGACTGCCTGTTTAAAAGGGATTGTGAAACTGTTAAACAGGTAGTATGAGACATCTTTCCTTCTTGGTCCCTATTAACATTAGTTAGGGAGGACACAATGACTAGCAGAAAGCATCATCAGCGAATTCTGTGAAAATTAAAAGCTTGCACCTAATGCTTATGTTTCCAGCATATATGATATCAAGGCCGAGCAGAATCCAATAAGAAAATTCATTGATCTGGAGCAGTTCAACAAATACCTCCAGTTGATGAATTGCAGATGACGCTGGACTGAAGATAATGCAGCAGCAAACAGTTGAAGAAATTGGTCAAATGATCGAGGAGCTGAAGGAAAGGAGATCGACTTTGTTCAAGAAGTATAGTCCAGTCTGCACAAACCCTGCATGAAATACTCACTGGGAAGATAGTTGATGGTGTCAACCGTGAATATGTCGGCTACATCATTAGTTATTCAAATCCTTTTTATACAATTTCATATCTCAATGATGAAGCTGAATGTTGTCAACTGAACAAATGTGAAATTGGTTCTGACTATCTCCTGCAGAATTTGTATTATGAAAATCAACCCAACTATGATGACTGAAAAGGCAGCAGAAAATAAAAAAATGTGCCTTTTCAAGGTCAGAAAATATTCTCAAAAGTCTTTTTGCTGTTCAATATTGTTAATTGGGTTAAAATAATAAGTTTAAATGATTATATAATAAAATTTAAAGTAATATGAAGATTTAATAATAAAATAACTGTCATGACAACAATTAATAAAAAAAATAAAATGAAAAAATATATATTAATAAATTAAGTTACCTCTATTGTGGTATTTCATCTCTTATTAAATTTAAGAAAGTTTTATAGATTTTTTTTTTCCCCATAAAGCATCTATAAATTGCAGAAAATATGTTCATTTATGTAATGAAAAAAAAAAATTGCTAGGTAATTAAAAACTAAATGTGTTCACTTAGATTTCATATTTGTCAATTTTGGTCATCCATAATAGTTGTCATTAGCCCAGAACTCATCAGAAGTCAATCATCACTTCAGAAAAATAGGACCTGTTAAGAAATGCGTGTATATTACTTTTTTTTTTTTTTTTTTTTATGCTAGAAATATTTGTTTCAGATTAATTTAACTTTGCTAATATTTGTGTCACAAATATAAATTTTTTTTTTTTAGAACAATGATTTTTGTTTACAAATTTCTTAAAATTAAAAAAATGACTGCTTTTAAGAATTTTCTTACTTCAGCCAAGAAGTTGAAATTCTGTTCTATATTTTTTTTTTTTTTTTTTTTTTTAATACACCAGAATATTTTACTGACTGGAAATAGTAAATTTAATCCTTTTAGCATTCAATTAAAGCTAAAATTAAATTTTGAATGCTAAAATTTCATTTTAAATCTTAGGTACTGAAAATTTATATGAAATTAGTGGCGGTACCTACTTTTCATCTTTGCTCCCTGCAGGAGAAGCACTAAAGCTTGGGGCTTATGTACCCAGAAGGCCTGTCAACCTATAAATAAAAGGATGTCTTTTGTTCTGGACATCAGAACATTTTTTCATTTAACATTTTTGTTAAATTACATTTTTTCAAGCAACATGGAGTATCCTTGTGACATTACTAATTTAAAGTCAGAAGAACAAAAACAAATAAATCCAATTAATATTGAACCCAATTTTTAGATGTTTTTAGCTTTGAGTTATAAAGAATTCTTAGGAAAAAAACCTTTCCCTTCAAATTTGCAAAAAGTATCTATAAGTAGTGCTAATATTTTTAGCTCAAAAGATAAAAGCAGATGAAAGTTGGGGTAAAAAAATAAGTGTGTGTGTGAGCTGAAGAAACTCTTTAGCTAAACCATTTTGTCAAAATCTGAAATGGTAAATTCTGGTTTGTTGTTAGTGTTTCCCTTGAAATGGCTTCATTCTCTCAGCTTTTTTTTTTTTTGTCTATTTAATAAACTTTGTTCATGATGTTAATTATGTTGTTTTAACTGCTCTTTATTTTGTTAGAAGGGTAGCTTTTGATATCCTTCCTTTTAATGAAAATAACAACAAAAACAAGTTTTACTTTTGATTTTTTTTTTTTTTTTTTTTTTTTTTTTTTGTAAAATTCTGGATTAGGTCTTGGAAACCAATTTTAAAAAAAAAATTTTTTTTTTAAATCCTGATTATACCAAAAACAGCATTTTAAAAAAAATTTGTGGAATCTACCATTTTAAAAAATAAACACGTACACAAGTCACAGAAGTATATTTTATTACTTACCTTGATTGGTGGTTATTTTTTCTTTTGTGGAGTGGGTGGGATTTTTTTTTTTTTTTTTTTTTTAAAAAAAAGTATATTAGTTTCTACTTTCCGAAACAAAGGAAAGCTCTTAAAACATTTCAGTAGCTATGATGGATTAATTAAAAAAATAATCATTTAATATCAAACTATTATGGGGTGTGCATGAAATAAAATCTTAACAAAATATTGCCTTTTCTCAAACTTAATATTCAGTCCCTGAAATTCTGTGCTTTTAGATGAAGTAAAAGTTTTGTACTAAACGTAAAAAAAAAAAAAATCCTTCCATGATTTTGATCTTCAGCGACAATGTCAAATAAAAAAGGGAAATTTTCATCCACCATCTTCCTAGTAGGATGACCTTTAACCTCCCCCCCCCTTTTTTGCTTTGAAATTAAGCCACAACGTAGAACACTGGCAACCCACCTAAATTACTAAACCTGAAATTATAATTGTGAATTTCAGAAAAAAGTGAGCTTCATTTTCAATATGGAGTCAGTAAGCTCCTAAGAGGTTTGGACAGGGAAAGTTTCTGTAAAACTCAATTAGCAAAAGCAGAAAGCAATTAAACAAATGAATTAATATTTGTATTTTACAAGCTGTTAGCCAAGTAATTATCAGGTCAAACCTTTTGTGATTCAACACAATATTCTTTATCACGGTAAAGCCATTACAAAACTGGAATGTTACTTCTTTGGATGAATGTTCCATGAATTTTTTTTTTTCTCTGACAAATACTCTGATAGTTTTTATCATTTTAGATTTTTTAAAACCTAGATTATAAAAGCAAATATCTAAAAAGGATTTTAAAATATTTCTACGAATTTGAGGTCATTTTTGCAAAACTAAATCAAAGCTCATATCCATTACCTTGTACATCCTCAAAACCAACTGAAGAAAAAGTTTCAGTTTCGAGAAATTCATTGATATGTTGGTGTTAATTTCTGATTCAAAGTTGAATTCAAACTTTGACAAAAATATAACGTAAATTAAATCTCTCTACTAAATAAAATTGCTGACAAAAATGTTTTTTTTTTTTTTTGTTTTTTTTTCTTCATTATAAAATTAAGTAACTTACATGCACAGTTAAAGATGAGGGAGGGAGTGATTTGCGAATCAATCTTCTGTCACAAAATTAAAAAGAATACATTTTTTTTTTTTAAAACGATCTCATTATCACCATCCACTGATCTTGACAAAGTCAAGGGGAGATAACTTAATTTTTACAAGTTTGCAGGAAACCAAATAAGAAAATTCCCAAACACCTGCAGAGTGGAGAAAAAAAAAATGTGGAATGTCCAAGGATGGAAACTAATAAGGGGAAACTCCCAAACAAGTCAAACTAATCTTGCCTCGTTTATTTTAACAATTGTGTGTAGTTGGAGGCAGCCAATAACTTCAAAGTTCTGCACTTTAAACAAAATTTCTTTTGTAACAACCATGTTATCTTTTATACAGTAATGTTAACAAATCGAAATGAAATTTGCCCAAAACTCCATATCCTAAAATTCTGATTGTTGCTCTTTCCTGAAAACCAAAGAATCAGTTTCAGAAACATTTTACTCGTCAAGAGATCAATAAAGATCTAGATGAACTTGTCACATTTTCATCTGCTTGACAAAATCTGAACAATGCTTCTTATGAAATTCCTTGATAGTCAAAGTTCATTATTGACTAAAATTAGTGCAGCACATTTGATAATGAGGCAAGCAGCATTTTTATTGTCCTTAATTGGATGAATAAAGTATTTATCTTTGAAACAAGATAACTAATTTTTGATGGTCATTTGATCAGGCAAATTGTCATGCTTCATCAGTTGAAGACCAAGACACAATGACTAACTTGTCACACATGATTGTCCAAAGGGAAAAATAGTCACATGATCAATAGATATGTTATATAATATTTTTTTTTTTTTTTTTTTTAAAAGAAATGTGACTTCAAATCCTTTTTATTAAATGAAGAATATCTTTATTTTATTTTATTTTTTTTCTTGCTACCAAAAAGAGCAAAATGCTGTTTGGACCATCAGATGAAAAAGGGTTGGGGCTGAAGATGAAAAAGGGGTCGGGGCTGAAGAAGTGGGTAAAAAGAACAACATTAATTTTTCATTTGTTGAAAGAAAAAAAATATTTTCCCAGTGCTTTTGTTTTGTTCTCTTGTTTGATGGTATCATCAAAATTCCTCCAAGAGCTGCCATCAAATTAGTTCCTCCAAGACTTTCCCACAACCCCATAAAAATCTAAAACCATATGTGGTCCTCATTGACCTTTTCATTAAACATTAATTGAATGGAAAACAATAGCAAGTTCCCCATTTTTTTTTTTTTTTTTCTTCTTTTAAAATGTAGCTGTGTTTAATAATAGTTTCTGAGCAGCCATAAGGAATGGGACGTTCACTTTTCAGTTTGTCATTCCACCATCCTTCTGAAAGACTGCAATAAATGCAGACAAAGTAAAAATAACTTTAAATGTCTTTTAAATCCCAAAGATTGGTCATAATATCTGCAAGCTAGATTTGCTTGTAGTCTGAATTAATAACAAGATCACAAAAAATGGCAATCTTTTTGTCAGTAAACACGGATTCACCTTTACAAAGCTCAATCTCTCAACAGTTCACACAATCGATTAAATTAGCGTATGAGGAGCTTAGCTTTATCTGAGGGCCAGTATCATCAACTGGTCAGTAGAGGACATTCTTTCGGCCATGTTTTTTGATGCAACGGTCAACAAGGGCTAAAAGCTCCCCTGCTGCCATGTTCACGATTTGCTGTCTTCCTTTGCGATAAATGTCAATAAGGAATATATTGTCTTTCTGAAGTTGTTGAAACAGCTGCAAAAGAAAAAAAAAAAAAAAAAAATTCTTCTTATAGGTTACTTTTGAGAGAAGTTAATGTTGTGTGATTGTCTATACATGACATTCAAAAGCAGCTTTTATAAAATTAAGTGGGAGTTAAACAACAAAGACAATGGCTAGAAAATGCAAAACTCAGTACAAGTATTTACACTATTTACATTGTTCAGACTGTTGTCCTGATCTTTATTTTCACATTCACTATTTCAGCCATTGTACACAATTGGATATATGCTGGAACTTCAAACTGAACCCTGTATTTTATCCACTGAGGCAGATTGTTCTAGTTCACGTGTCATGCCTTACCTGGATATCTCAGTTTCAGTTATTCACTTTTAGTAACTCAGATCTCCAAGTTTTTGTTCACCTCTTCTCTGGCCAGGTATTGATATCAATACAATAAAGACAACAGTCCAAATAATGTAAATAGTTACAATACCTCATCTCGGAAATACAGATACTCAGTACAATTTTTTATACCATTTTGTATTAAAATAAACTCTTCATAAAATGGGAAGAGGAGTAAAAAAAGACAAAATTAAAATCCTTTTTAAGGATTCATTTTTTTTTTTACATATGAATGTTGCTGTGAAAGTAATGCCTCTTAATTTACTATTTTACACTATTTACATTATTTGGACTATTGTCCTCATCTTTGTCACCATATTTATTACAACATTTCGGCCTTCTTCAGGTATTTGGAATGTCGAACTGAACCTTTTATTTCGCTCACTGGGGTAGACTGTTCTAGTTCCACATGCCATGTTTATCCTCAAGGACACATAGCACAGTGGATAAAGGTGTTTGCTAGATCCAGTAACAGGATCCAAAGAGAGTGAGTTCAATACCCGGTTAAGGCAGTGGAGAACTTGGAGAGGGGAATTAACAGGAGATAACTGACATCTATTAAACATACAATGGCTGAAACATTGTAATAAATATGGCAACAAAGATGAGGACAATAGTCCGAATAATGTAAATAGTGTACATAATACCTCATCTCAGAAATATAGACAGTTACTATTTTACATATTGCTGATATGGCAGATGTTCAAGAAAGCAAATATCCTTTTATTTTTTTCTAGTTTTGTCTTATCAGAAAGCCGGCTGGATGTTTGGAAAAATGATATGAAAGTACATACAAATTCAGTCAGTGAATTTGTTCAAGCTATGAATACCTGAATTTGTTCAAGCTATGAAAATCAAACAATGGATATGAGCCTGGTCAGATAGAGGGTAATGTCTCAGCAATGTCTACAAGCAAAGCAGGAATTCTTTTTTCATTGCAAGAGAAAACTTGGAAAATAGTTTTCTTGCTTTCTCTTTTAATACTTGTGATTTCTGGATCTGTCGTAGAGTTTATCAGATAACTGGAAGACATTACTTTTATAGCATCCCTCATTTAATTTGTTTGATATTTCAAGAGTCTGAATGGAAGTTCTCTTTTTATAAGAATCTTTTTATATACATTTCAAAGATGTCCTGGAGGTTTATTATTAGTGATGTTCATACTAGGTTCATTGATAGTTTCAGGTTTTTCAACATAATACCATCTTCACCAGCTGACACTTTGGTACAACATCACAATCTCAGCAATAAGCTGTTTAACCTTCATTGCCTTGTATTCCACACAAACAAAAAACCTCTTTCTCTACTAATAAGTCTTAATTTTTGCATCTCACAGAATTATGGTATATTTAATGCTACAGAACAATGTACTGATATTTTTCATGTATTAAGAAACACAACACAGATGTTGTAATTTTTAAATTGCATTATATTGAAGTTATTGGTGGTTAGAAAGAAAAAGGAATTTCTCAATTGATTTGGAGTAAATTATTTCAATATAAATGTGTCGGTTTCAAAGCAGGAATGACTGCAAAACACTTTCCCCTTGCTCAGTTTATAGGGAGAAGCACACAAATACATTCTGGGATTTCTTTCTAGCCAATAAGATAGGCTACTTCTTAGTTTGATCTGACTTGGTCCCAGATTGTCTTGCCTTGAAGGCAGAATGCTGCATTCATTCATCTGAATGTTTAATATTTTGGGAGTGGGTTCTTTTTTGTTTCTTGCAAACTTTGTCAGTTCTATTTGTTGGACATTTCTACCATTTTATTTTACATTTAATAATGGACACTTGCTCTACAAAATGCAATAAGATTTTTTTTTTTTTAATCAAAATCTTGCTGAACAAGAGCAACAATCACCAACAGTTTTTCTTAAATGATTTAAGCAAAAGTATTTGCATTAAACTTTCAAAATATTACACTAAACTCTTCCTTTTATTTCCACGTGGACTGTCGTCATCCTCCATCTTAGTTTATTGTAAGGAGGGAAAAGGGTAGAAATCCCCTCCTGTGGAATGAAGTAAAAGTACTGGAGAATCAAACCTTTGAAAGAATCGGGCTATTGTGTTGGAATGTGTCACGAAAAAAAATGATTTCGTCTTTCTCTCCTGCTGTCATAGCAACGGACGCAGTCTCCACTTCTGAGACTGAAAAACTACCCTCGTTCTCATTCCAGCCCTTTACATAGAGCTTGGTAACTCACCCATGCAAAACACCAACAAGCCAGCTACCAATCACAGTTCCCGCGCATGCCCACCTCCACTCGCTTTGGGGGTTTCAAGTTGACCGACCAACTCATTACAGGTATATGCAGACCTCTTAGAAGGCCAAGTGTAGAAATAAATATATGGGAACCGTTAACAAAATAAGTGAACTAAAAGCAAAGCTTCAGCAGCAGTTACAGTAAAAAGTTAAAGCCTTGGTAAGTGTAGTCAAGCATAGCATGTAGCAGAAGCACCACTCATCAGTTGGTTAGGCTTAAGGCTCAAAGTTCTCCATTCAAGATTGTCCTTAATGAATTAATGTTTAGTGACATAGCAATTGTGAGTTCAATCTCTGGGCCAGGTAATGTGTACTTGGAATTAATAAAAAATGGTTGAGCGCTACTAAATTACTGGATGACTTATCTCTGGACATGAGCAGTAAATGAACAAACCCCCACCCCCACCTGTAGATTAAATGGTTCCGTTCAGAATTCTCTGAAAATCACTCAAATTGATAAGCACCTGATGAAAGTCAGATTGTGGAAATGTTGCAATTCAGAAAATCTTGGGATCCTCTATACAGTTATGAAGTCTCTCTTGTTGAAAAATCAAATTTGATAAAAAATGCTAAATCCTATTCTCTCATGGGGAAGAGGAAGGCAACTTTTTTTTTTTTTTTTTCTATTCTCCTAGCTCTGTGATAGGGTCCTCATGATTCACAATTGCTAACATCATAGATGCAGTTTTCTGCCCTATATTTGCATAATCTATAATTGACTTCTTTCCTTGGTTCCCATGAGATTAAAATTTGTAAACCAACTTTTTCAAAACAAATTCAAATCCAATTATATTTTCTCCTCTCAAAGCAAACAAGAGAAAGGGCAGTCACTCATATTTTTTTTTTTTTTTTTTCTTAAATCAATTTAGTACCCTTCATTCTTGCAGAACACAGCATGAGATACCCAACAAACTTTGAGATTGATGAATTCCTACTTTACTATAGTTTTATGGTTAGCAAAGATTTGCAAAGACATGTTTGAACTTTTTTTTTTTTTTTTTCCCCTCCCACCCTGGACAAATGCCATTTTAGCAATGGCTAAAAAGATCCTTTTGATAATGAACAAAAGACCTTTCAACATTGAAAGCCAGGTTCCAACCACAAAAAGTTTAGATATGCAGTCCGTGGAACAATAAAAATCTAAGTAAGACACAAGTTTTTCTTATGTCGGAAAGCTCATATATATATATATATATATATATATATATATATATATATATATATATATATAGCAAATCACAACAGAACAAATTCTTTAGGAAGACACTTAAAATATTTCAACTTGATTAACTCCTGATTTCCATTTAATCAGGTTCATGGAAATCTCTTTTCTAGCAAAGCTTTTAACAATAAATTCATGAAAGTAAAAGATGACATCAGTCTTATCAGAATCATTTTGTCCAGAAACAATGAAACAACTGTTGAATATTTGTTATTGTTAACAATAATGTTCACAAATTTAATATCTACAGTCTGTATAAAATTAGACTGAAAAGTGTGAGATTTGATTTAAAACTCAAACTATGACTTACATGCTCTCCAAATCCACACACTGTAGTGTTTGACGTGCCTGCTGGAGGGGAAGCTGTTGTGCAACGGAAACAGGCCATTGTCTTGTAGGCAATATTGGGAAAATGACAATGATTGAAATAGTCCAACCATTCCAGGCTGTATTCTGTGAAGGCATTAGCACCACCAAAATGTATCACATGACCTGCAGAAGAGGATATTTTTAAATACTTCAAATGATTACTTCTGATTCAGTTGCATGTTATCACAGATTAATTTTCAAGTTATGGAGAGAGAAAAAAAATTGATAAAATTCTCAATTTTTGTGTGTAGGCAGTGAAAGCATTTTAAAATAGATATACAGAAAAATCAAACATGAAGTTTTTTTTTTTTTTTTTTTTTTTTTAAATTTAAAACTGTATTTCTTATTAGGATTCTAGTTTTATGGCATTTAATCTATAGAATTGCATTTTTGGTTCCTTAAATCCTTCAACAAGAGAAAAAATCTGATTAATTCATTGGTTTCTCAGCTCCTTGACATTTTTAGCCATTTTAAATTTTGATGGGGATAAAATTAAATAACAAACTCTGATTCTTTTTAACTTAAAATAAATCTGTGCGTGAGAAAGGTTTTCTTAATTTATAATGAGTATAGCTTCAGGAACATCCAGAGGTTAAAGAATTTTGAATATTTGTCATTCAGAAATAATTTTTTGCCAGAATAATAGAAAAAAAAAAAAGAATGGAAGAATTAATCGAAATGACAAGATACTAGTTGAAAATGAAAGCATTCTTTTAATTATTGAGCTCTAGTTTCGTTTATAGATTTTCTGGTTTGTTCTTTAAAGAAATAGACAAGGCAAAAAACCATAGTCGATTTGTCAGAACGTTGATAAGTAACAACTTTGCTCAAAAGTTCTTTGAACTTCTCAAAATTACAGAAGGTGACATTTTAACTTTCTGGAAAGCAGACATGTTTTAGCCAATTTTGTCAAGGATGTAACTAGTTACTTTCCTTGGTTATTTTCTTCGCTTCTTTTCGCATTTTGTATGAGCGTTGTTTGAAAATTCCCGAAGCCAAGAAATGTTGCTTAAGTTACAGGAAAAAATACACCAGTGTAAGAAAACAGTTTTTAAATAAAGAGAACAAAATGAGAAGTTGTCTCCCTTGAAAGGAAAAACCTCAAGGTAGGCATAGTTATCTCCCCCTGAAATTTTTATTTCGGATTTGAACTTATTGCAACTATTTTTCTTACTGTGCGCTTCCTCAATGTTTCTACTTCCATCCTACAATGTGAAAAGGCAGAGAGAAAAAAAAAATGGCCTGTCACAGTCAACTGGAAGATCTTTCACACATGAGAACGCAAACGAGACATGGGTGCTAAGCTTCACAGCAACCCAACCCCCACACCTGCTCATGGGTCTGATGATGCACTTCAAATTGATGATTTCATAAATCATTGTGCTCTCGACTTTTGTGCTCTTGTGTCAAACATTACTAGCTTTAGTAAATACATAGAATGGAATATTTGATTTCTACTGTAAAGTTCTATCTTCACTTGATTCATAACTTTTTTTTCTTTAATCATTTCATCGCAAGTAAGACAATAAATCCGCTAAGACGAAACGGGTTACTGAGAGTGAAAGAACATTGAGAGGGGACAGAATTCAAGGAGAGAGAGATGACGATTGACATTGTGTTTAAATTTTGAAAACATATTTGCCTGGAAAGCAAGAAATCAGAAGAGATTCACGAGCAAGAAAAGAAACTCTTAGCATAGAACTGACAGTTACACGCAGCTACTTCAACTGTAAAATGAGACCTAGCTGCCAATCTAGTACTGTTTAAATTCATAAAGTCAAGGTAACAAACAATTACTATGAAAATATTTATAGAAAAGGCACAGGGGAATGATATTATGGCGGTGAGACAGTGACTGAAACCAAGATGCCAGATCAGGACTGATAACATTGCAGGTTCTACTTTGGATTTTTATCAAGGATATCTAGATATATAGCAGAAGCACCAGACCAGATGTGGCAGCAATATTCAATGCATGAACAAATGGTAGATGTACACAGTCATTCATACAAGTATAACATACTTTCTAATCTTAGGCAAGATTTAATAAAAGCTTGTACAAGGTCACATGAGCATATATGAAGATTTTTCTGAGAAAAGCATTTTTTTTTTCTAAATTTGTTTATCTAAAACAACTGACATTTTAACCCTTGACTATCTATTTTGAAAACGGTATAAAATGTTAATTTATACTTTTTTTTTTTTTTTTTTTTTTTTTTTTTTAATTTGACCTAGGTAGCTTATATAACATAGATGTTAATATTTAAGTAATTTTGTAACTGCATAAGTTAATTTTCCATCTGCTCCTAAATAGGGGAAATGAGACTGCAGAACCAATAATAATAATAATAGAAGTAAATATCATTACAATTGTCACTTTATTATTAAATACTAGTCTTTTTAAAGTTTTTGTCAAAAAACTTATTTCAGCAATAATTAAAAAAAAGTGTTATAAAACTCCAAAACATTAAAAAAAAAAAAAAAAAAAAAAATTTTAAAATGTCTAGAATAAGAGATGAAAGAAAAAAAACTAGTTTCCATCTGTTTTGTTTGATTTAGCATACCAAACAAGGAATATTTTGTCTAATTTGAAGATATTTTGTTTACAGATTAATTCAATAATTAAACAGAATTCCCAACATAAAAAGACCCCTTCTCGACTTTATAAAGAGAAGGAAAATTTCCTGTTTGCCTGTAGAAAAACCTTTTTTCCTCCTGTCAAATTAAATTACAAATATTATACTGAATTTATCTTTCATAGCAAGATAACACTTAGGTATTGGTTCAAAAATAATTTTAATATTGTTTTATTTTCTATTATAAGTGCCAATTTTTAAAATGCTAAAAAAAACTTTTATTTGATAGCTTATCTCAATGTTTTCAATGCAATGTTTGACTTTGGTGTTTACTGGCTAAGGCTCTTACTTCAGGTTTCATGCTGCCTAAAAGTAATTGTAGATCTCGTTTTGTAATTTGCAGGCGGTTTCTTTGATTAGTAAGAAGCATCATTGAAACCACATTCAGCCATATTGGAAGTTAGAAAAGTTTGATAGCTTCCCTCAATTTTAGATACCATTCAGAAATTTCCTTTTGTAGTCAATATTGAATAATTTTTGAAATTTGAGGAAAAAATTAAAAATCTGGATAGATACCCACTGCTTCCCTGACTCTTTTCACTGCCCCCGAGATACCCACTGCTTCCCTGACTCTTTTCACTGCCCCCGAGATACCCACTGCTTCCCTGACTCTTTTCACTGCCCCCGAGATACCCACTGCTTCCCTGACTCTTTTCACTGCCCCCGAGATGCCCACTGCTTCCCTGACTCTTTTCACTGCCCCCGAGATACCCACTGCTTCCCTGACTCTTTTCACTGCCCCGAGATGCCCACTGCTTCCCTGACTCTTTTCACTGCCCCTGAGATACCCACTGCTTCCCTGACTCTTTCACTGCCCCCCCCGCCTGCCAATAAAATAAAAACTCTGCTCTCTTTCAGCATAACAGATTGGGAAATCTGATCTAATTTAAATAACCAAAAATCACATTATTTTTATTAATGTTAGAATGTCATAAATTATTTAATTGTGTCTCATATTACTCTGCTGGGTCATGTGTCCAGAATGTGTCCCACTCATCTTCCATGTATCATCCTGTTCAGTGAACTTGTCCATGAAAACCCAAAATGATGCCTGAAGGATCAGTTGAAGACATTCTGATACAGGCCGACATCGATCAAGAAACCTGGGAAACCATTACAACAAAAAGCGGGGCATACTTTCAAGTTCAACTGTCAACATGAATGAGATCTGCATTGTGCTATCAGGAGGGCCTAACTCTTCCAAGCTGCATCCACCACCCACACTCATCTGTGACTCACACTCATGACTCTTCACAGAATGGAAATAAGGACAATGATCTCCAATGCAAGCAGGTATACCGACTATGACTATAATATTATTAAGAGATCAAGAAAGTTTTATATACAACTAGCAGCAATGAGAAAATTCATAATTATCACGTGAAAAGGTATGCTAACATGGACGCTTGCAAATTATGTATGACCAGCCAAAATATGTGAACGCAAGGAGCATCACTCAGTTTGCCAAATGCATTACACAAAAGAAGGAAGAAGGCCCCTGAAGAATTGGGCTTTGTTCATGGCTTCTGTAAAATGTCAATTTGGGCAGTGGGTTCTATTCTACAAACAAAACCTAACATACGTCAAATGATAAAAATCTTGGCCTTACCTTTTGTCCCCATGAAATAATTGGCTGGTTGTTGTATTTTCGCTAACCAAACAATAAGTGCATATTCAAGGAACAGCTTATCAGTTTTTGAAATGTCACTCAAACTGTTAGTCATTTTACTCATTGGTTGTAAGGAGATTGTTTGGAGAGTAACAGATGATGGCCGAGGTGGTTCAACAAAACCTGAAAAAAGAAAAATAAACAATGTTATGGTAACTTTTTTCTTTTTTTTTCTTTTAATCTAGTGACTCTCCCATTTGCAGACTGGGTCTAAAAATATTGGTTGCCAGAAGACAGAGCCCACCCACAACTGAAATACTATCATTTAATTTTTATAACAAGTAAACCAAAAAAAAAAAAAAAAATACATATGGAAAAATGTATTTCTTTGTAATTTCAGTGTCTGTCCTGTACCTATTACTGGCAGTAGATACAAAAATTTAAATATAGAATGTTATAATTTATATATTTTAATTTTAAGTAATTGGTTGATATTTTTAAATAGTTTACTGCACAATTGATACATTAACAGATTGTTCAAAATCACAATAGAGCATTCTATCCAGTCCACTATATCGAGATCAATCATTTATCATGGTGATTGTGCGAATCTGTCAATAATTGCTTCTGCATCCAATTTATCTAACGATTCCTTTTCCATGAATAGCAACATGTATGATTCCAAATTCTCCTCAGACAGAGAATTTCTTAACCATGTCTTTATGATCTTAAACTTTGAAAATGTCCCCTCACATTGAACTCGAGTAACTGATAATGTGCCGATGACTTTATGAAGTTCTTATTCCTTTTTATTACTAAAACAGTTGCCTGTGTTTTCTTTTATTGCATTTTTATTTCATATAGGTGGCCCACTTGCTGTTGAGCAAGCTGATACCCTGGCCTGTCTGCCACAACTCACTACAGTAGTACAAGATGGTTTGTAGAGCCAGCTTACTGCGATAACAAGATGCTTCTGATTAAGTGTGATAAAAACGCACATAAAAACAATTTTTCAGAATTTATAAGATTTTTTTTTTCCTCCTTTGAATTTCAAATTCTTAAATTTTCCTCATACACTTAATCTATTAACCCATTAACTGCCAAATTTTTTTAATGCGCATTTTTGGCCCAGACAGGTATCTTAGGAGTTTATTTATTCCTTATGTTTATTTTCAGTAGTTACCGTTCTAATTTTTATAGAAACTAGAACATCAAATATGTATGTGTATAAAATATCAAAAAATAATATTGATTAGAAATCTTTACAACATGATGCACAATTTATCTGATACATTTAGAAAACCAAGTAAAATAGTTTGAATGAATAATGATTCTACAAATAGTTATTCTCACTTGTGGAACTCTCCAGGCTTCTCTTTTTTCCTGTCGAATATGACCTTCAAAAATTTCAATTAAATCATCTTCTGTCTCCTTGAATCTTGCTTTGTTTTTGGTGTTTTTTTTGTTTTTTTGTTTTATATTGTTCATTCTATGGTGTGGTGCTTTTATTTTATTTTTTTTTAAATTTCTTTGAAATTGGTAACAATTTAGATAGGGTCTTCATCTGACATGATAATATCAGTCTCCTTTTTACTGAATTTCAATATTCATGGAATTTTTCAAATGTTTGAAATGAATAATGATGCTACAAAAAGTTATTCTCCAGGCTTCTTTTTTCCTGTCAAATAAGACTTTCAAAAATTTCATTTAATAGTCTTTTGTCTCCTTAAATCTAATTGCTCATTCTATCCTCAATAACATTATCTACTTCTTTCACTCACAGTAACCCTTGCCCTAGTGGATTTGTTGTCTTCTTGGGATGAAAGGGTTAAAAGAAAAAAAATTAGCTGAATTCAAGACTGATAAAAATTCTAGTGACCTTTGCATTAACATTATTCTTAAATTACTCTGGCAAATTAAAAAATGCCGGACAAAGCATTTTTTATTAATTCCTATTATTAGTGTTTCCATCTGTGGTGAGATGGAAATCCTGACTGATCAGATAGAATGTGTATGTAAGACAGTCTTAAGGTATATAAGTTCAAGTCTTACTAGAAGGTCAAAGAACAATTCAGCTGATAACTCTAGCAAGAAAGTGTTTCTCTGTCAAAAATAATGGCCAATGCAAAATTCCATAGAGCTAATTCCAAGACCAAATTTCCCTGGCATCAAATCACGGATGAGTGAATTTCTTCCCATTTGAGAATCACTCATCTGTAACAGGTAGACTTTTTTCTTTTCTTTTTTTTTTTTTAATGGACATACAAGGTCCTAGATTTTAAGATTTAAGTAGATTACTGAATATTACCTTCAAGGGTTCCATCTTCTGCAGTCATATCCAGAAGCTGGCTCAAATGAACTGGATCTTTACTGATTTTGCGCAATATTTTAGTTGAGATCTTTCGAGTTGTAATTGGTGGTGTATGGTAGAGCTGTAATGACAGAGAAACTTCAGTTTAATCTCAACTTTGCAAGATAACCTGGTGTTGCTCAGGATCTAAAATACAAATAATGAATTTCTTTGTTGGGTGGTTGTGAGCAATTCAAAATGTATAATGCAGCTGTTACCCCCCCCTTTTTTTTTTTACTGTATTAATGTCTAATATATGCTGGAAAGGTCATCTCTCATTTGGTGTGTAAAAGAAAAAAAAAAAAAAAATCTAATCAGTTTTTATAGACTGATTTGAATGAGCTTGTAATAGATTTTATGATGAGAGAAATTCTTTTGACAAAAGGACAATCATTTAACCTCCCATTTGATATCAACTCTGAAAAAGCAACTTGAAAATCTAATTTCATACTTAATAAAGACATAAATTCAATACTTTCTTCATACAGTCCCATCACTAGTCATCCCTACTTTTTCCATCTGGTTGCTATTCCATAATAATAACAGGAAAAAGTAGAAAACTGTTACTAAAATTGTCTAGTGATTATCTACCTGGTAAGCAATCCGTGCAAAAAGCTGCTTTATCATTGCTAGTAATGATAGATGGAATCCTGGAAGAATTATGCAAGTTTAAATTTGGAATTTGAAATATCATTTTAATTTTTTTTAATTAAATTTACATTTCAGACATTGGAGTTTGTTTTAGTTTAAATATTTTCATGTCAGAATGTGTAAACAACTGAGGAGGAGGAGGAGGAGGAGGAGTGAATCAACAATAGAGAATGTAATATTTGGAAGAGAAAGAACTTATTCATGAAAAGATAAATTCCTGTGGGACAGGATCCAAGTTCAATCTCATCTGAAGTTATTAATTCCTTATTCCCAATTGTAACAATTTAAGAAATGAATTCATTAAGAATCGTTAAAGAAAACTAATGCAAACGAGAGGGTCAGTCCTCTTAATGGTCAATTGACTTCTTCACCATAGAGCCATACTTACATTTCTTATATGAAAAGGATTGCACTTATACTGAGGCAAGACAACATTTTTTTACAATCCTAATGACTAACTTAGAAGGTTACCTTTTTATTTGTACGGAATGAGACAATTGCTCTTTTACACAACATTAAACATTTTGCTTTCTTCCTTTCTCTCTCCCCCAACCCATCCATCCATCCGTCCGTGTAGTGAACGAAATAAGATACAGTGGCTCCATCTCTAAATGGAAATGAAAAGCAATTTTGCTGCTGTTCAATCCCAGTGGCACAAATTTTAAAGCAACTGAATTTCTCCAAATTTTGCCTATTAAGCATTTCTTTCCTTCTCTGTTACAAAATAGAAAGATTTCAAATAAATTGCAAGGGTCTCTTCTACACTCATTTCCACTCCCACTTCTTTGGTTTGGTTTTGAATTAGGAGTGGAGAGGGTGGGGGTCTGAAAGTTCTCAGCACAATCCTCTTCCTAAAAATCATATTTTGGATTCTCCTCTTAGTGAGGCTGATAACTTCTCAGCATACCCTTCATGATATCCACTCATTTGAGAAATGAATTAAATAATCTGTACTGGTTTCATCGGTCAATCCACGTAGACATTGCTTCCCTTTTAAACCAGGGTTCAGAGGTTAATTAGATCTTATCACAAATTCTAAAAATACTATTCCCATTTATTTTTTCTATATTAGTGGTTTTGATAATTTTCGTGTACAGCTGGAGAGGACTAGAATATCACAAAGATTAACTTTCCCAAGAGGATTTCTAATCATCAGGTTTCATTAAGCCAGTATTCTAGACAGCTAGCCAATAGATTAACATGAATATTACTCCACTAGAGATTATCCCAAACTGGATCAAGTTACTTAAGTAAAATGAACAAATTTTTATGTGAATTAAGATGCACAGAAAATGGAAATCTTTACAAAATATATTGACCCAATACAGAAAATAGGTCTCCTTTTATGATAAAGGATATATTTTCCCTCTTCATACTATTTACAGATGATTGTGAGCAGCCATATTGAATTGTTATTGGTATAAAGTGTTTTTTTTTTTTTTTTTTGTTTGTTTTTTTTTTTTAAAACTAAGTTTACACGGATTGTCTATTGTAGAAAACAAATTCTATAGTAAAATATACATGGCAGGTGTTGGTATAATGGAATTTATTTATTATTATTATTTTTTTTTTTTTTTTTTTGCAAGAAATATGAAAATTTTTGCAATTTTTTTAATGGAAGCCAACACATTTTTCTACTGTGTATTTGGAACCAAATGCATGAAAAAAAAAAAAGAGTGAGGAAGTATAATTGTCTCCTGTTCCCTTGTGTATCAGATACTAAGTAGTGGCCAACTTTTATATCAAAAAAAAAAAAATTATCATCAGTTTTATTAAAAGAAAGACAAAACATTGTTAGGAAAATGTCTTGGATTCTGAGGATAAGTGGGTATCAAATCAAATTAATGTAGCTTATCACTTCCTGGCTTGAGAAGAGTCTATCTGCCTCAGTTTTACTTATATCTGTATTAGAGCCATTTGGTATTGCAGGATTTTAATTCAGTCTTTTTTTTATATATAATATATAATACACACACTTTTCATATTTATACAATATACATATATGTACATCAATATGTACTTGTGAATACATATAATACAGGCTTTTTCTTGATTTTTATATATATATATATATATACATATATAAAAAAAAACATGCGCAGTACTTATTGGAAAGCGCTCAATATCAGTGATAGAGCTAAACATATTTAGTTGGATTGATGTGAGTTTGTGACCCTGGGTTTCACAAGGGCATGAAACCAGGGTCACAAACTCACATCAATCCAATTTGTATATGATTAATATAAAATTGGTCATTTAGCTGATCGATGCCAACTCAAGAGTTTTGT